GAGAGAGAGAGAGAGAGAGAGAGAGAGACAGAGAGAGACAGAGACAGAGACTGACAGAGAGACAGAGGACTATAGATTGGAGTAGGGTATGCTACAGGGAAGGAGCACTGGGCCAGACAGCTGTTTCTCTTTGGCTTTACTGTGTCTCTGAGTAATGATAACATAACAGTACTTTACTGGGTGGCTCCCATGTACCAGGTAAGAATCTGAGCATCTTTGCATGTGTGTCTCATTTAATCCCCTGGATAGCTCTGCCAAGCAGGCATTATTGCCTTCAACAAACAAACAGCAGGCTCGGGAGGTGAAGCAGCTTGCCTAGACTGTCCAGCTAGTAAATGACGGGGTGTAGCCGCAAAGGCCAGCCTGAGGTCATTCTCCAGGGAAATGCCTTCTCCTTAGCCTCTGGATGCCTCATGGATAAATGAGTACATCAGACTTGATGACCTCAAGGGCCCTTCCTGCTGTGACATTCAGTGATTAGATGATTCACAGGGACCTGCACTTGGAAGGGCATCTGGGCAATTCCCCTGGCCCCAGGTCCTAGGCCTTCAGCTGTGCCCTTACATACCACAGAGACAAGGGATCCAGAGGCCCCATCATTTGTCTCTTTCCCAGGCAGCAGGTCTTCCAGGTGTCTGTGACCACCCAGCCTGTGGTCTATGAAGCCATGGCAGATCTCTGCAAAGTCTCCCAGTGACTCACACCCTGCCTTAGCCTTGGAAGACTGTCTCTCCCAATCGTTTTGAGCATGAGAAGTCTTTGGGTCTGAAGCTTCCATGACCTGCTAAGTGTAATCCCTCAGTTTGGTTTTATCCCAGCTTTCTTTGCCCCAGCTCAAGTCCTGCATTACCAAATCCCTACCTCCCAATCCTACACTTCTTACCCTAAGGCTTTAATAACCTCAGGCCTTCTCCCCATGTAGCTTTTCTCTGAGTAGAAACCACATGGCAGCTTGACTGTTGGAAAAGACCATCCCCCATGTTCCTGCACAAGGCTTTGTAAAAATCTATTTTAAGGCCTGGAAAAGCACCCCCCCCAATACCAGCCCCAATAGGGCGTCTTGATGAGCATCCTCCCTGGATACTCTGGCATTCCGCCCTTCCCCACCCCCATCCAGCTGCCTATTTGAAGGTTTCTTGGGGAAGTTGTTACTCTGAGCAAAATAAGCAGGAAGAGATTTAAAACAAAGCCAGCTGGTGTCTGGACTGTTGCCACAAAGTGAGGGGGTCAGGGTGGGAAGGGCCGACTCCTCTGTGATGTGAGGGCACATGTGTCTATGTGAGATAAGGTGGGTCCCCCAGCAGTCTGAGCATAACTGGGATTCTGTAACCAGATGTTTGAGAATGCAAACCGTATATATGAGGATGTAGCTGTTAAGGTGTGTGTATACATGTGGCTTTGCAAGGCACACGTGCATCTAAGTGATGCGGGTTTGTTCATCTGTAAAACCACATTTGGTATTTATTTGTGACCAAGGACAGTGTAATGAAAATGAGGCAGCAATGCTTTCCTGTATTGGTGTATCAAGTGGCATGCTGGAGCAACTGAGCACTTTGGATGTGGCAACACAGAAGTCATGAATATTTGTGTGTGTGTCTCTCTTGTGATTGCAACTGTATTTGTGGGACTATTTGTCCTTAGGGGACTCAGAGATGACAAGACAGGATCATTTGGATGCATGTTTGTGAGACCACAGCATGGCACCAGGAACATGGGGCTGTTTCATAAGTAGCTGCTGAATGCTTAAGATGGTATGTGGAGATGGCAGCATGCAGCACTGAAGACATGAATTAGGACATTTAAGTCCAGACTTCACCATTCTGGGCTGTACAGTCTTGGGCACCTGACTTTCCCTCTCTGGAATGTACTGCCTGCCAGTGAGGGTTACAGAATGATCACACACACTGGCCCATAAGAACATCAGCATCTGAGAAGTGCATGGAAGTATAGGGATGTGGGGTGTGCAATTACCCAACATTCAGTGTGCAATGATTCACTTCTACATACCCCCCTGCCCCTTGGTGCCCATGCCACTCACCAGGCTGGGGGAGTTGCAATGTGCTCTTGCTCCACTGGGTCAGGCCCACAATGGCCACCATCTTGGCGCCCAGGCTGCTGCGTCGTTTCTTGGCTGTGGTGGTCCCGGGCCCGCCCCCAGCTTGCTGGGATCCACAGATTTCACCACTGATGCTGGAACTCCGCACCACATTCCTGGAGGCCCCAGCTGAGGCTGGACCAGGCTCCCCGTTAAACATGGTCCTCAGAGCAGCAGGGCTTCAGGGAACTCTGAAGGTGGGTGGGAGACACAGGGATTCCACATCAGACACCTGTGACTGTCCTGCAGCCCTTCCACTTCCTAGCTCTGTGACTCTCGGTCAGCCACTTGGCCTCTTTGAGGTGGTAAGGATTAAATGAACAAATAAATGTCATAGTCTGACTCAATTCATGGGGAGTACTGACACTTGCCTGGTGTGGAAGAAGCCTGGGCTGTGATCTCCAACATTGTAAAAACTGAAACTAAGGCCAGTGAGATGGCTCAGTGGGTAAAAGTGCTTGCTGCCAATGCTGTCAACCCAAGTTTGATCCCTGGAACTCACAAGGTCCCAGGGATCTCAACTCCCACAAATTGTCCTTTAACCTCCAGATGCACACTGTGGCAGGCGCACACACACACACACACACACACACACACACACACACACACACACTCTAAAAAAATAATTCCCATGAAGGCCAGAAGAGAGCATCAGATTCCCTCAAACAAGAGTTAGGAATGGTTGTTAGCAGCCATCTGGGTACTGGAAATGGAATCCTTGTCCTTTGCAAGATCAACCAGTGCCCTTAAACACTGAACCATCTCTCCAGGTCCTACCCTCTCTTTAAAAAACTTTTTTTGAGACAGGGTCTCCCTGTAGCGAAGGCCAGCCTGGTCTGGAACTCACTATGTAGACCAGGCTGGCCTTCAACTCACAGAGATCCGCCTGCCTCTGCCTCCCGAGTGCTGGGATCAAAGGTGTGCGCCACCACACCCAGCTAAATAAATAATCTTAAAATAATTAAAGAAAAAACAGAAAACAAAAATGGGACTTTTTAGCACGTGGCTATGAACAATCAGCAAGTGACCTGGTTGGCAATCAAAGTTGGGTTGAATTCCTAAGACTTCTACACTAGCTGGGTGACTTTGCTGGAGTTTCAGTAAATATCTCAGCAAAAAAAGAAGCCAGGGTTAGAGAGAATGGCCCAATGATTAAGAATACTGCTCTTGCAGAGGACCCAGGTTTGGTTCCTAGTACCCACACGGCAACTAACAACTATCATAACTCTAGTTCCAGAGGATCCAACGCCCTCTTCTGACTTCTGCAGGCATAGCACGTACATGGTTTATTTACATACATGCAGCTAAAACATTCATACACATAAAAGGAAGAAAGGGAGGAAAGGAGAAAGGGAGGAAGGGAAGGAGGGAGGAATAAACAGAATACTTGGTACATGTTAGGATGGTTGCTTTCTTAGCAAATAACAAGAAAAGAATGACACAAAAGCCTGTGCGGACTGAGGAAGGGATCCTCCTTTGTGGGAGGGGCTGGCCTAGAAAAGTCTAAAGCAGAGTTGAAAACTGCAGTCCCCTACGCTGCTAAGAGGCACCACTGTCAGTGTTTAGCCCAGCTCTGTCTGTTCTGTGCACTTGAAAATAATTGGACTTGTAAATACAATTTTAAATTTTGGTATTTTTTCATCTAATATTGTATCATAAGCATTTCCCAAGGTCATTAACACTTTGTCTAAATGTTTTAATGCCACTGTAATCGTCCATTGCACAGACATAGCATAATTGACTTAAATATTTCAATACAGTTACCTCTTGAATCAGATCCAAGTTTCTCTCTCCCTCTTTCTCTCTCCCTTTCTCTCTCTCTCTCTCTCTCTCTCTCTCTCTCTCTCTCCCTCTCTCTCCTCTCCTCTCCCCTCCCCTCCCCTCCCCTCTCCCCTCTTTTTCAAATAAACACTGAAGCTCAGTTGGTGTGGTGTTACAGACCTGTAATCCCAGCATTTGGAAGGTGGAGGCAGAAGGATCAGGAGTTCAAGGTCATCCTTGGCTACACATGAGTTCAGGCCAGCTTGGGTTACATGAGACCTTGCCAAGAGAGGGGGGTGGAGGGATGAAGGGAGGGAGAGGGAGGGAGAGAGAGAGGTGGAGGAGAGAAGAGAGAATGAAGAGAGAGAGAACATTGAAATAAACATATTTCTGGACCAGTTTTGCCTGCTGATTTCCTTAGAACTGACAAATGGACTGACTTGGGTGAGAGGATATGTGGACTGCTGGGAACTTCCCAAATTCCCAGCTTTCCTCCTGCTACCTGGCAGATGACGGCTTTGCCCAGGTGCTTCCCTGTCCCTTGTTTCAGAAGCAGATACTGATATAATTTAAGGCCATTGGTAAATGGCTTTCGCCTTAGCAACTCTCATTTGTCCAAATGGGCATTTGGCCATTGCTGATACAATTCATTTTAAGAGAGGTAGGGGTCTGCTCCCTCCCTACAAACACACCCCTCCTACTAGGGAAGCCTGACAGCAGGGCAAAAGTCAGGGCTACTGGGGCAGCCAGGACAGAAGACATCAGGCCACACCTGGAGCTTGCTTTTCTCTGGTCCACAATTCAGAGTATTTCCCATTGCTTAAGCCAGTTTGAATCAGAGTTCTCTGTTTCATCCAAAAGCATCCTGTCTGATATTAGGGTGGTTTTTTTTTTAAAAAATTCTTAGACTATATTACCAAATTCCTTTCCAAAGTATAAAAATTTACTGACCTCATTAACTGTGTTCAACAAATATTTAATTTCCTAAAATTCCAAGGCCAGTGCTGAGTGCCAGGGATACAGCAGTGAGCAGGCCTGCTCAGCCCTGCCCTCCCAAGACCTCCAGTCCAGGAGGGGAGACAGACAGTAAATAACTAATTATATCATTAAATATTTAATGGTGGTTACGATAAGAGCTGGGGAAGAGAAGGACAGAGGGCTCTGAGAACACTCTAGGGGAGGGCACAGCAGGCTTCTGTGGCCCAGTCTTACATAGAGGTAGGATCTCTGTGTTTGTGAAAACCTTTGTGTATGTGCATATGTGTATATGGAGGCCAGAGGCTGATACTGGGTGCCTTCTTTAATCGCCATCCACCTTATTTTTTTGAGTCAGGGTATCTTGCCATACCTGGAGCTTACTGATTTGTCTAAACTGGCTGGGGATCTGAACTCAGGTCGTCATGCTCACACAGCAAGCACTGAGTCATCTCTCCAGCCCCAGAGGTGGGGGGGGTCTCCAGCTGTGGAGCTCTACGACTTGGCTGCCAAGTCAGCTCTGCTTAGGCAAGGGAAGGAAAGCCATCTCTATATTCCCCACCTTTGCTCCATCTCCCAACTCAGCTCTCTTCCTGAGCACTTTGCTTGAGGGAGTCTGACCTTTCAAAAGGGCATAAAAAAAAGGGTAGAGAAAATGGGGTTGGGAGCTGGGAGGCGCTACTCTGGCTTCAGAGGAAGATTGTCCCCAGATAGCTGAGAACAGCCACTGGCCCTTTAGTCAGCCTGGCTCCTGCTAGCCTGGTGAATTAAGGCTGAGAGGGGATGAGTCAAAACCTCCTTCCGCCTTCTTTG